AGGGTTTAGGTGTCTAGCGTTTAGGTGTTTAGGGTTTAGGGGTTTAGGGTTTTAGGGTTTAGGGGTTTAGGGTTTAGGGTTGGCTAAGCCTACTTGTGGCCTAACATCCTATCCCCACACACACCAAACCTCAATAAACGAAATCCTAAACCCCAACATCAACACACAAAAATCTAAATTCCTGCCTCCCCCCTCCCCCCCCTCAGGTGGTACGCAGCCGCTCAGTGTTGGTGTAGACCCACAGCTTCGCTTTGGTTTGCAGGTGGTGGAAGGCGAACCTGCAACGGAAACGAAACATCTAGCGCTTTAGGGTTTAGGGCTTTAGGATTGCCCTAAGCCGAATGCAGGGGCCTTAATAATCAGAATAGCGTTTTGGGGGCTCCTTATTCCAACTATGGTATAATATACTCCCAAACCCTATTCTAATTATTAAGGCCCCTCCCTAAACCCTAAACCCTAAACCGTGACCCTTTAGGGGTGGTGGCGTTTTAGGGTCGAGGCTCCAAGTGCTGAGCTCAGGCTGGGGCTTCTTGGTCTAAGCCATGCATGGAGCGGCCCAGCTTCGAGTCTTTCTGTGGAAACTGGGGAACAGCCCTAAACCCAAAATCAAACCCTAAACCCTAAAACCCTCAAACCCTAAACTCTAAACCCTAAGACCCTAAAGCCCTAAACCAAAAGCCCTAAAACCCCTAAACCCAGCTGTTACTTGGGGGGCTTCTTGAACTTAGGGAGCTCAGTTTGGGCTTCAATTCACAAGGACCCTAGCTTTCACGGTTTATATTTGGGCCCTCACGTTTCTGAAACATCTACCCTCAATTTTCTGAAAACCTCCACTTGTCGTGATTATCATCTTGACTTCCTTGTCACCTTCAGTTGTGATCAAGGCCATTACTGTGATGCAGATAATGCCCACAAACAGGCTCATTCTCGTCATGGTCACCAGCATCCTAATTGTTCTCACTCTTCATCCCCGTCCGTCACCGTCAGCAGAGCTGTTATCACTGCTATCGCCATCGCCCCCATCTCCTTTGACCACAGCAAGCGAGGCGCCGCCACTCGGTTATCAAAACCACCGGCAACCGTCAGAACATTCGCAGGTCGTAATATCCATAATACCTGCGATGACGAACACATCTGCACAACAGTCATAAGGGTACAGTGTACAGGTTGCAATGACACTTTCCTCATAGTCACGTGCTAAGCCAGCGCAGCACTCCCTTACGCAACCCTCATACAAGAAAAACCTATTAGAATCTAAACCCTAAGACCCGAATCCTAAACCCTCAACCCTCATGAGAGCCTGGCAGAACCTAAACCCTAAACTACACTCTAAACCCTTATGAAACCTGGCAGAACCTGAAACCCTAAACTCTAAACCCTAAACCCTAAACCTAAACCCTAAAACCCTAAAACCCTAAACCCCTAAACCCTGAACCCTAAACTCGGGTTGGGGAAGCTCGGGAGCTGCCAGGGCCGCTGCCCAGGTAGCCCGGCTGGCAGCGCCACTGGCCCAGGAACTGTGGCAGATCGGAGTTTACGGTTTAGGGGTAAAGGGTTTAGGGTTTAGGGGTTTTAGGGGTTTAGGGGTTAGGGGTTTAGGGTTTAGAGTTGAGGGGTTTAGGGTTTATCGTTGACGGTTTAGGGGTAGAAAGGGCTTAGAGTTTTGAGGGTTTAGGGCTTCGGGTGGTAGGCTGACGGTCAGAAATGCTCCCTATGATCCTTGCAAAACTCTACTTTGACCGTCAAGACCCCTATACCAAAAACTCCCATCACAAGGTGTAGGATTCTAGGGTGGAGGGTGAAGAATTTCTGAGGGCGGCCCTCTCCTCTCAACAGGACTGCATGTGCATCAGTTCTGCTACGTAGCTTTGCTAAAATCTCGTGTGACTGTTCGTCGCATGTCTAGGTGGCCGTCTCTTCCATTAAGTGTTATCGACAGTGCTTGACTTGGCTTGTTCGCTAAATCGACTAAGTTTGTTTAGCTATCCTAAATGACTGGCAGGATAACCGTAATTAAGTCATTTGATGCACTTGTGTGCAAGTACTCTTTGTGACATATATGTGTGCTATCCATATGCTTCACTTACTATCAACATACGTGTGTCAAACCAATTGCACACCACAGCATGCTTATAGAGGCAACAGACCATACTTACCCAAAATATTATGCTCACTTGGACGAAGTACTATTTTGCTTAACAGGTCTGGCTATTGAGCAAACCGGCGCCGTTCCAAGTAGTTCGCGGGAGCGTGCCAGTAGGGGTGTGGGTCAGCTGCATGGAGGGGATGCGTTCGAGGCCCGCCGGTGATCCGCGGTAGCGCAGGAGTTCGGGCCAAACCCT